AAGGACTTTTTATTGTCCTTGATGCTTGAAGCTAGTTGGAGTTCAGTTGCAGCCTTGACTTTCCTGGTTTGCTCCCTGCAGGACCGGACCAGTGCAGAATAATCCTCCTTGGAGGTGAATCTCGTCTTCCATCCTTTGTAGGCCTTTCTTTTTAGCCTCAGGAGGCTGCTGGATCCCTGGAGAGCCAGGGGGGCTGCTGTGCCCTCTTGCTGCCTTTCCTCCGAGATGGAATAGACTTAGCTTGCGCCAGCTCTTAGCTTCCATTCATTTTTTGACTATGAAAAAATAATAGAGCAATTTTGCTCTTGCAAAGACCTCAGACCACAACTAGTTGGAATGTTTTTAACACTATGGATTCCTATTTGGAATTTCTTGTTCTATCTTGTGAATCATTTTAACACAAGTGGCAGTGACTGCTAGTTTATATGGAACTTAATCCTATAAGGATAAGTACACCTGGACTGTATCCCTCAGGAGGGAAAACGACATGAATATCTAGGCTAAGGATTGTTGACTGGACTTTGGCATGAAATAGGTGCTGAACTTTTCAGCCCCACCATGGTGGCAGCAGTCCTGGACATTTGCAGAAATAGAACTTCTGGGTCACGGGGACTTTACTGGCAAAAACGTAGGCACCTGTGGACTTCAGGTGCAGTTTTGAGGATTGCATTCTTAAGTGCCTAAGTTCTGCCTTTGTCCAAGTTCCACTTTAACCTCCTGTGTTCATGGGCATGAACAGGATAATCTGGGAAGATCCCAGCTGCCTTGGGAGGGGGGTTGGGGGTATGGAGGCCACTTGGTGCAGTTCCAAAGTAAATGTCCCTTAACCTGGGACATTTTTACCCAGATTCCAGTCCAAGGTAATTTCTTCCTGGGAGAAGATCATTTCTTTCTGGGCTCAGTTGCCCTGAAGCAGTTGTATCAAGGCTTTTGCTTTGATATTCCACATATTGGGGCAACTTCATTCATGTAGTCATAAGTCCTTCTATGAATTGGGGCATAGGAATAAAGTCCAGAGGTGAGTCCAAGTCCTGTGATCTATTATATGGGGACCATGCTGCTTTCCACTTGTATTGCTCCTCTTTAGTTAAACTATGAGCTCTTTATTCACACTCTGGATTTCTTTTATTCTAGGTTAGGACTGATTGAATGGCTACCAAATACCTGGACCTTAAAGAACTTCCTTCAAAATAACATGTCAGAAGAAGAAAAAGCTGAATATTGCAGGTGACTCTGGGTTTAACTGTCTGCGTGAAACAAGGTCTACCTGGCTTTTTCTAAGATTCAGTTTATCTTATGAGAATGTATCTGTAAGCGTGGAGTCTTTCGTACTTCCTGACCCAAATCGGTAATTGGCAGTTGTTTGTTTAATGAGTGCCATTGCACCTGTAATATCCTCCACGCAGCTTGTTTAAACAAGAAGTTGATCATCATTTGTGACATCATCCTCACCCATTTCCTTATCAACAGATTATGATTTTACAAATGCAGGATTCTGATCTCCTAATTGGAACAGGCAGAAAGTGGACGTAAGCCAGTGGGGGATGGGAGGGGGGAGACTTAGAAAGTCATGTGTTGAGCAGTTGGTCAGTACTTCAGAAAATTGACCTATATGAACTGTGAGTTTAAGCTGAAATAAGCTTTAACCATGTATGAACACTGGATAGTAGATGTTTTAGGGTTTTTATCTATTGTTAACAAAGCGTTAATTTACTGGAATTGTAGATTAATTCTAGTTTTTCAACCTCTTTGTGTAGACTCTTGTGAGGCTTTTGGAATTCAGAACTTGGTTTAATTACTCTTTTCCCATGAAACACGTCTGTTCAGGCTTGCCTCAGTGAGTCATGCCAATACTTTATATTTGCTTGCTTCTGGGCCAAGGCTGGAACATTGTTCTGTACCCAGGCCCATAAATTAAATAAGGAAATCGTATTCATTTGGCCAGTTTAGTGCCTTGGAGGTGTTGCCCTGCAGTTAAAACGTTGAACTTTCTCTCGTATAAGAAATCGTTATGGATTTGTAGGCATTTTTTTGGTAGAGCTGAGAACTGTGACGTTTCTCTTTTCCTCAAGTGGTTGGTTAATTGGTGAACATGTTAGAGCTGCTGTTTTTGTCAAATCAGTCTTTGCATTATTTATCTAGTTCATTAATTTGTGAAGTGCTTTACTCTTGAGTGAGGCAGAAGGCAGAGCTTAGTGGCACTTCAGAATCTAAGACTATAAACAGACGTTGCCAAATAAAGAGGATCAGCTGTGGTGCATTTGCCTTGCCATAGGGTGAAACAGGCCTCTTTCATTGTCCCACATCAGGCAGAGGACAACAGGAACCATGTGGGACAACAGGAAATGTGTTCCCCACATGCCCCAGAGAATCTCTTGTGCACATCTCTGTAAGCAGGGAAAGTCAGGACTCCCTACTTAGAGGTGTGCCCTTCCTCCCTCAAGATTGCCCAGGGCACACCTCTGCAAGTAGTTATCCTGGCTTTCCCTAGGAGTGCATGTCTGTAAGTGGGGAAAGCTTGGGTTCCCACCACCCTGGAGGTTGCCCTGGATGCATGTCTGCAAGGAGGAAGTCCTAGCTTTCCCTCAAATACATCTCTAAGCTGGGCAGGCATACCTGGGGCTTGAAGGCACCTGATCCTGTGCAGGAGTTCCTGGGGTGTGCTGGATTGGGCTTCTCAAACCCCAGGAATGCCTGCCCTGGGTGGCTGGAGAGCACAAGCAGCTCCGTGCTAACCTTGCTTTCCCACCATAAAGGGGGACTGGTATCAGACAGATACTGGACAAATACTGACTGGTATCTGCCACAATAAAATTGCAGAAACTATTACTTCTTTTGTTGCAGCCACAAATTTTGGGCATTTGTGCGGTGCAGCAACAGGTATACTGGGCATCTGTTTGGCTGGCCTTTGTGCCACCATAAAGAATTTTTTATGACGGCACAAAAGCAATGTCTGTTTCCGCTTGAACCTTCTTTAGAAGCAGGAAAAGCCGGAATAAAAAGCCTGATCTGTAAAGTCAGTATATGGAAATTTTAGTGTCTTACACTAAAACCCAGTAACTGTTCTTATATTAAAAATGAAGGCAGAAAGTGACCTGATGGCCCAGTGTTAGAGCAGGAACCTTCAGACAGCTTTAAAGACCCAGCCTTTTTTTTGTCCTCTTGGTACTGACTGAGTGAAGAACACTATCTTAGTGGAGCACTAGTTCACTTTCTACAGGAACAGTGCGTTCTTTGGAGGCTGCCTATTCATTTATTGACTTGCCCTAGCCCTCCTTAGCTGGAGCAGAGGTGCAGTCTATGGACAGCTGCTTTAAGACTAGGATGATAAGGAATTGTGGATAACTCACCAGTTCTTTTTGTCTGCAGTGAGAAAGGACCTTTGTTTGCCTATAACGAATGGCTGTCTAAGATGGCTGGTGGGAAGATGGAAGATATTGCACGTTATATGCCTATGTACAAGTAAGTCTATGTACAAGTATAGTTTCATAGTTTTACAGTTGTTGGGGTGGGAAGGGACCTCGATAGATCATCGAGTCTGACCCCCTGCCCTGGGCAGGAAAGAGTGCTGGGGTCATATGACCCCATCCAGGTGCTTGTCCAGTTTCCTCTTAAAGACCTCCAAGGTAGGGGAGAGCATCACCTACCTTGGAAGCCCGTTTCAGATTCTGGCAACCCTTACCATAAAAAAGTTCTTCCTGATGTCCAGCCTAAATCTGTTCTCTGCCAGTGTGTGGCTGTTGTTTCTGGTTATTCCAAGGGGTGCCTTGGTAAACAGAGCATCTCCAATTTCTTGCGCTGTGTTTTCCCCCCCACCATGAATTTGTAAACAGCCACAAGATCCCCTCTCAGACATCTCTAGCAGAGGCTGAAGAGATCCAGGTCCCTCAGTGTCTCCTTGTAGGGCCCTGCAGGCCCCTAACCATACGAGTGGCCCTCCTCTGGACCCTCTCAAGGTTATCCACATCCCTCTTGAAATGCAGCACCCAGAACTGGACGCAGTATTTCAACTGCAGCCTGGCCAGTGTCACATAGAGAGGAAGTGTCCCCTGGACCTGTTCATCATGCACCTGCTAATGCATGATAGAGTGTGGTTAGCTTTACTGATTACTTCATCACATTGATGGCTCATATTCATCTTGGAGTCAACTATGGCTCTGAGATCCCTTTCTGCTGCTGTGCTGCTGAGAAGGTCATCCCCTAGCCTATAGGCATGTTGGTGATTCCTTCTCCCTAGATGCAGAACTTTGTACTTGTCTTTGTTGAACTGCATCCTATTTTTTTCTGCCCACTTTTCCAACCTGTCCAGGTCTGCCTGGATTCGATCCCTTCCCACTAGTATGTTAACTTTACCCCATAATTTTGTGTCATCCGTGAATTTGGACAGAGTGCTGTGCACGCTCTCATCCAAGTTGCTGATGAAGACATTGAATAGCACAGGTCCAAGGACCGAGCCTTGGGGGACCTCACTGCCCACATCTTTCTAGATCGATACCGACCCATCCACCACCACTCTTTGAGTGTGACCCTTAAGCCAATTAGCCACCCACCTGACCCTGTAATCATCTATACCACAGCTACTCAGTTTGTTTATGAGACTAGGAGGCGATACTGTACTGAAGGCCTTAAAATCCAGATAAATGACATCTACCTCAACTCCTGCATCTAAGCATTTTGTGACCTGGTCATAAAAAGAAACAAGGTTAGTCAGGCAGGATCTATCTGCTATGAACCTGTGCTGGTTGCCTTTCAGTATTATTTTTCCTGCTGGCCTCCCACAAATGTGATCCTTGATAGTTTTTTCAAAGTTTTTCCCAAGGATGGTGGTGAGACTAACCAGCCTATAATTACCAGGATTCTCCTTTCTCCCCTTCCTGAAAATAGAGACCACATTGGCCCTTTTCCAGTCCTCTGGGACCTGACCAGAGCACCACAAGTGCTCAAACAGCCATGACAGTGACTCTATGACACTGGCCAATTCCTTCAGCACACTTGGATGAAGAGCATCCGGGCCTGCTGACTTGTACATAGGCATAATGAATGTGTTTAAGTAAGTTATATGCCCACGTACAACTAAGTCTTTAAAAAAATAAAAAGAGTTGCTTATGACTTATATTTTAAATTTACAGTACACATAGTAATTTCCAGGAAGTCTATTTGCATTATAACATAATGGATAGAGCCACTGGCAAAACTGGGAAAAACATGTGGTGTTGTGTGGAACTGTCTTGATATTGAAGAAATTGCACCAGAAACCAGTTTGTTCACCTTGCTTCTTGGCAGCCTGTCTGGCAACTCTGACTCCCAGACTGGTGGCTCCTCTGCAGTTCATGCTTTTAGGTTCTCTGGCTCCAGGGATAGGCTGGATAGGGAATGGCAGTTCTGTTTCAGCGTTTTTGCATTTTATTCCAAATCACAAAGAAACCACATTTTTAAAATCCTCCACAAAACAAATTTCCATTCTCTGCCAAGCTCCAGTACTGAGCTGTGTGGGCAGTAAACGTTTCTCAGCCACCTCTGGCAGACCAGAAACTGTTTTAAATTATTTGCATTATGCCTTTCACTTACCTGATTATTTTTTAACAGACAAGGCTTTTTAGATCTATTTTTGTGTACTTGCTGGAGAGTTTAAATTCCAGAGAAACTGGGAATGCTTTTACTGCTCATTTGCCAGACTAGGCAGGACAGTACAGAAGTGCACAGTGGAAGTAGTGTAGGAACCTTAGTGTGGCTAACAAGCAGGTTAATTAGATCTCCTTCTAAGACCTAACTAGTCTAGACACAGCACTATGCAAACACATCTGTACTACTTCCTGTTTGAGAGGGGGTGATGTTGCATGATGATGCCTGATGTGGTGAGTGTATGGTATCAATACATGCTTTGAGAGCTAACCAGTGTCTAATCACACTTTATTGTTAAGATGTTAATACAGAAATACTATTGGACATCAGTTTCTCTCTGCCCCCCCCCCTTTTTTTTTCTCTTGTTTCCTTTAAATTATGTTATAATCAGCTTGATAAGTAGGAGACTCGCTCAAGGAAAGACTGGCTGGAAGTGGGGAAACAAACAAACCGTGTATTCCTAAGAGCAAATCAAGCTTTGCTGCCTTGTCTTTGAATTTGGGGGTAACCCCTTTATGAATAGTATTTTGTCTGAATCTGACACTCCCTAATCTCTCCAGGGAAGTACCTAGTGTTTTTTAATGTTAGTCCTCTCACTGGAAAATTTCAGTAACTAGTGCATTCTTTGACTTTCAGAAGAGCCAGTCGTACGGAAACAGTCATGTCTTTCAGAAACAGAGAAAACTGTGTTCCAGAAGACCTGTTAAGGTAAATGTATGGTCAATAACTGACTTTTGAAACTAACTTTGATGTGACATTTATAAACAGCCTATGACTTTTTTTTTCTTTAAGGAGAGCCTTTGTTAAAATGAGTACAGCTCCTGAGGCCTTTCTGTCTCTGCGCTCCCATTTTACCAGTTCTCATGCACTGATTTGCATCAGCCACTGGATTCTTGGCATTGGAGATAGACATCTGTCCAACTTTATGATTAATACAGAGACAGGTGGCATCATCGGAATAGACTTTGGATGTGCATTTGGTTCTGCCACACAGGTAATTCTTACAATTCCTTTCTTATGTTTTTTTTAATATAGTGGATAGAATTACAACTTTGGTGTTTTCAATTTGATAATATCCTTTCTGAGGATGTTTTGTTGCATGACAAGCTTTACAAATGGCTCTTAACTGTTATTAGAACAGGTTTTTCTTTTCCAGATATCCTCAGCCAAGCTAATATGGAATTCTGAGGCCTGTAGCCACAAAAAATTGTTTAAAGATCAGTTAGTATTTGACATCTTTTGTAGATAAAATGACATTGCTCATTCCTACTTTCAAACAATAAATATTCATAGCCTTAATTTGAAGCTGAGAGCACGCCTGGTTTTAAGCTCCGCATTGGAACATTATTTTCAGTTAAGTAACCAACAGAGCTTAAACAGATGCATCTTTCTGAACCTTCAGTTTCAAGGCTTCTTAATGCATCCTTTTTACTTTTTCAAAATCCTTGTTCTTACTTAGATGCTGCCAGTGCCAGAGTTGATGCCTTTTCGTTTAACACGCCAGTTCATTAATCTTATGTTGCCAATGAAAGAATCGGGCCTCATCTACAGCATAATGACACATGCCTTAAGAGCGTATCGCAAAGATCCAGACCTCCTCATCAACACTATGGATGTCTTTGTAAAAGAACCTTCCTTAGACTGGAAGGTAAGTTTTTGTTAGTTTTTGTCTTTATACAAAGGCACAAGAGCTGCTTCCAGATGTTAAAAAACAAAACAGTGCTTTATTTAAACTCTGCACATTCCTATGCCAAGCCTAGCACATGCCCAGAAGAGGCACTGCATTAGTTGGACCTGGCTTGCCCAACATCTGTATAGATCAGGCACTTTAGTGGGACTTTTTGGGGCTTTTATCTAATAGCTGATTGATTCATCCAGAGGCTGCAGAGCCAGGTCAAACTAACATGCTGCTGCTACTGGTAAAGTGCAGTTTTTACGGGGGGTTTTAACATCTGTAAGCAGCCAACATGATTTGTTTTTGATTAGTTTTGTCCTTGATAAGACAAGGAACTATTATCTAGTGCTCAGCTTAATTGTTCCTTTTTTCCCCTCTAATCTTCAGTGTTGGTTTGTAGAATGTTCCAAGAACCTGACAGAAATAGTTCTTAAAGCATTTAAAATGACATGCCAGTATTTTGTAATGAGAACAACAGCTCTCACTGGTTGCTGTTCTGAATTATTTAATTGCCATGTGAATGATTTTATATTTGGAGATTTCACAGTGGCTATATGCTACTACCCACATAATATAAGTATTTTGTCTGTCCTATGAACCAGAATATCCTGCTGATTTCATGTAAAGTAACACTGTACCTGAAATTATTCTTTATGAAAACACTTTCAAAACCTGTAACATTGAATTATATTAGAGCGTGTTTTCACTCTAACTGTAAAATATACTATAATCATAGAATTTTCTAAAGAGATGTCATTACATACTGTAAATTCTTCCAGTTTTCAAAGGAAGCAAAATTTGAAATGTCACTTGACTGTTTCTTTTATCCACTCTTATGAACCTGCATAAACACAAATGTTAATCACGTTTTTGGCTGTAAATTAACTGTTAAGCCACAGGCAGATTTCCTCTAACTATTCTGTGTTCCACTTTATTTGCAGCTCAGTTTATTTACTAACTTACTAAGGATGTGGTGGGCGGATGTGTTAGAATGTTAACTGTCGTGTGTGCATGCGCGTGATACGCATGGTAACTATTAACTGGAGCAAAATTATTGGGTTTTTTTGTTAGAATTTTGAACTGAGACTGCTGAAGAAAGGAGGCACGTGGCTAAAGGAAGTAAACACATCTGAAGTAAACTGGTATCCTTTGCAAAAAGTCAATTGTGTCAAAAGAAAGTTAGCTGGTTCCAATCCAGCAGCAATTACCTGGTAAGAGTCTCTCTCCCTTGATGTCAAAGCATTCTTTAAAAGGTTAGACTTGCTACCTTTGCATTTAATAGCAACAAAGACAAGGCAGAGATGGTGGAATTTTGTCATTTCAAGAAACTTGACAGGGTTGAAATATTTTGGTGCACACCTGAGCTCTCTGAATTACCCTGCAAGCCCAAATACCTAGTATCTTGCACATTTGAGCATTTTTACTGTTTTTGGCGACATGCAAGTTGAGTGAACTCTTCATCCCCATTAGCTGTTTGTATGTTCTGCATACAACTTTGGGGCTAGAGGTGGAATTGGAATGGATTGTTTCTTTTCAAATAGTGGTCCAGCAGGGGTGTAAAGGTGTGGAAATAAGCTACCTAATTTTGAAACATCAATAAATAAAATCAGATTCCCTGAGAACGTGATGACCAGACAGACTAAAATCTGAGTAAGGCAAGTTTGAATCAGGACAAAAATCTTGTTTTAAAGTTCATTTAAAGTACAATCAATGCTTTTCATCCCTACTTCCTTTTTAAAAATTATTTTGGGTGGGTACAAAAATGCAAGTAGCTTGTTTAAAATACAGATACTTTAACTGATATTGTTCCCTGGGAAAACTGGAGTAGTAGTAGATTTTACTGCATTTTTTGTTGCTGCATGTGAAAGGTCACATGAGGAGTCAGCTTCTTTCTGCCCTAACCTCTGCTGCTGAGCCTGACTTTGGAAGCTGCAGCAAGATGCTTCCTGTAGATAAGCACTGGGCGGGTCAAGGAGGGGGAGATGAAGTTGGGATGAGAGAAGCAGCATGGTGCAAGGAGGATATTTTCACTCACTTGTTCTGTTTCATCCCCTCCTCCCTAATCAATGACTGTTTCAAGATGAAGATAGGCATGTTAAATGTTCACTGATGAAAAGCAAAGGCTGAGGTCATTCAGCCACTGATGTGATCTTCTGAATTGTTATTGAGAACTTGGGGGGGGTAGGGTTCTCAAGCCTCGTAAGATCAGGTTTTAATTCTGAACATCCAGATTTTCTTTCTTTTAAGTCAGGAGTATATTTATATCTTCATGCTCTTTATTTTAGTGAAGAGCTGCGACTGGGCCACGAAAAGTCACTTGCATACCGTGATTATGTAGCTGTGGCTCGGGGTAGCAGAGATCAGAACATCCGAGCCAAAGAACCAGAGGACGGGCTTACAGAAGAGACGCAAGTGAAGTGCCTTATAGACCAAGCAACAGATCCCAATATTCTTGGCAGAGTTTGGGCAGGATGGGAATCCTGGATGTGAAAGAAAAGAAAGGGCTCCAAGAATCAATCCAATGAGGCCATGGCCTCAACACTACGACAAAGTTACTGTTGTGAAGTCTGGAACAGATATGGAAAACCCAATAGTTTGTGCTTTGGTTTTTTCTGGTGGTTAAGGATTGAGGTTCTGCATTATACCCTACCCAAAAAATTATCTCATATTCTCCCCTCCCTCCAAAAGAAAAAAACCCTTCTGTCACCTGTGAAGCATGCTTAAGGATAAAAGTTTGGAGGCTTGGCCTGTGTTACTCCAGAACAAGATGAAAGCTCCTGGAAATAAGCACAAACCTTGAGTGTTCTTCAAATGAATGTTGACAGCTGTCATGATTTTATTAATGCAGAAGACCTGTTAGAGGAAAATTAGTGTATGTAGTCAGCTGAATGATATACCTGAAAGGAGAGATTTGAATGGAATTTTGCATCACCAAAATCCTGTATGTTGAATCAGCAGCCAGATATATCTGGTAAATCATACAGAATATAGCACTAGGGTAATCTTCAGGAGGTACTAAACTACTGTTCATCTCTCTATATTATAAAAGTTGTAATAAGTTGATCTGACAATGACTGATTACAGCACAGCCTATCTTTAAAGGTTTTGATAATGTTTTCTGAATTTTAGAGGTTGTTGATGCACATTAAATTAACTAAATAAAAAGCAATTTATTAAAACCATTCTTAAAACAGAAAGTTAAAAGCTGGAAGTCAGAATTGCCAACACAGAAGTGGGCAACAGCAAACTTCCTGCCATGAATGATCTAGCAGAGGCCAGCATTCTTTTACTCTTAGCCTATAGCATGGAGCATCTATGATAAGAACTTTTACAGGTAGTCTCTGAACCAAGCAAATTTTGGCAAAATGATAGGGGAAGGGAAATGAAATGTGTGTAAA